TGAAACATTTGCAAGAAAAGAACCAAGCTCAGAGAACCCCAAGGACTCCACAGTTCAACCCTGAGCTACACATATTCTCTTCTATTGGTATTTTATTTTATTTTATTCTGTGTCCTCTTCTGAGCTGCTCTGGGTACCATTTTCCCTGAAAAAAGTTGACTACAAATAAACAGGTGATGATGGAGAAATCAATGTCCCCCACCCATGTTAGACACACATTTCTAACCCTGATGCCCTGTTTTCATCAGCTGCAGGGGCACTCCCCAAAAGTGAGCAGAACTGGATCCATTTGGGGAAATTCAGGGTTTTGAATTTGTAGAATCTGTAACTTAAAATGCAAAAGTGGAATCCAGAACCCCCTACACCTGCCAGCCTCCCCAGAGGCTTTATGGGGTCCCAGATTTGACTTTTGGCACCCCTGACTTACAGGAATGAACGTGCATCCTTGTTCTGGGCAGGATTAGAGTTTAAAGATTATGATGATATCCTCTCCTTTATGTGAATATCCTTAACAAGGTACGGCTGGATTTCCACGTGGAACTCAGCCAAAATCCCCACATTACAAATCACAATCGTTTGTTTCACACGTGGCTCTAAGGCAAAACCAAACTGCATTATTACTTCGTACAGGGAGTGAACAAACCCATTTGTTTGTCTGGCTGTTGAAAGTACACAGGCTTAGCAACTTGTTCATGAAATCTGTGCAACTCAGCGGGTGCCAATTTCCTAAGAGTTGCCAGCAGCAACAATTACAACAAAATCCAAACTGCTCAGGCTGAGACCCACCCTTCCTGAGCATGCACAGAGTATTAAAAAACCAACCAACCAACCTGAATGCTCCTAAGCAAGTACAATGCAATCTGATCTCATCTGATTAGAACCAGGTGACCCTGTTTTATGGATGTTACCCCCATTCTGTATCTTGTAAATAAGAAGAAAATAATTCAAATGTAATCATGATTTGGGGGGTGGGGGAAGCAGGGCTTCGTTCTCCCTTGGTGACTGAGCAGGAAAATGAAAAAAATGTAGCTGGCAGCTTTCACCAATATTTAAAATTGTAGCTAAAATGCTGGCTTGTTACAAGACCATCAGCAAGACATGGTGTTGTAACAAGCCAGCATTTGAGCTACAATTTTACTGCCACAGCATTTGGCGTGCTCCCTAGTTGCTCAGTTGTACAATCCTTAATTTGGTTCATGAAACCCCGGAGTTTGCATAGTAGGTTGGATCACAAAGGGGTTAGACCAGTGTTTCTCAACCTTGGCAAATTTAAGATGTGTGGACTTCAACTCCCAGAATTCCCCAGCCAGCATGGCTGGCTGGGGAATTCTGGGAATTGAAGTTCACGCATCTTGCTGGCTGGGGAATTCTGGGAATTGAAGTCCACCCATCTTAAAGTTGCCAAGGTTCAGAAACACTGGGTTAGACTGACATAACACACTAAGACATGCATATGTAGTACACACAAATACAAATCCCTAACCAAGATTAAAACCTTCCAAGCTTAGTGCATTGTGTGGATGAGGCCACAAGGTCTTTGACTTAGTTAAGCAATATTCTGCTGGAAGGGAAATGGATCAGCTTCTTCCCCATCACCCAGTCCAGCTTCCCAAGATGGTCTCTATCCATCTCAGCTTCCTATTTATTTTCTCAAAGTTATATAGAGGATTCTGAAGATTTGGAAACGAAGTGATACTTCTGATTGGCACTTTGTTTTGCTATAAAGCAGTGTTTCTCAACCTTGGTAACTTAAAAATGTGTGGAGTCAACTCCCAGAATTCCCCAGCCAGCATCTTGCTTGCTGGGGAATTCTGGGAATTCAAGTCCACACATCTTAAAGTGGCCAAGGTTGAGAAACACTGATTTAGACCAAATGTAATTTCTATGAGCTAAGGGCTATTACAAGCCAGCCATGGCTTTATATGCTCTTCCATTTTCTTCCTGTGCAGCACATGGCAGATTTCTGGATATTTGCTCTCAAATTCTCCAGGAAGGCAACTGCAGGGTAGCCCTAACCATGGTCAGCTTCAAAACAGACTAAGGATGATGAAGCTGTCTTGTTGAAACTAATCATAGCTAGCGCTAAAGCTAATTTTCATCCTTGCCTTAGAAAGTATCCCAAACCGAGTTCCAGAGCACGGAGAACAGAAGCCACCAGAGGCCCTTGATTATGGGAAGGATGTGTGAGAGAGAGGCTTACCAAAGTTCTGCAGAGTCCTTGGGGTTCTCTGAGCCTGGCTCTTTTCTGCAGACATTTTGTTACCTGGCTAGGTAACTTCTTCAGTGCCAGAAGAGAGCGGGGTTTGCTCCCTGTTTATATACAGTAGCTTGCCCTGCCAGTGTTGGAGGGGGGGCGTTTCTCCTTGGTAGTTCCTTGATTAGGGTATTGTTCTCTGCTTGTGTTAATCCTGGTGTTAATCTCTGTTTAAATGGGTGCTGATGGCTGGCGAGGAGGTGCTCTGGTCTTTTTGTTTCCTTTTTATTGTCTCTTTTGAATAGTATGTAGATGTTGTTTATCTCTATGGGCCTGCTGATGGCTGCCTTGTCTGAATACCAAGCTGCGATTCCTTTTGGATTTAGCTTAGTCTAAGATGCTGAGAGTTTCCCAGTTGAAACTATGGTTGAGTCTGTCCATGTGTTGTGAGATTAAGGAGTTTTCATCATGTCTTCTGACTGCTGGCTGGTGTTCATGGAAGCCCAAGGACTCCATAGTTCAGCCCTGAGCTACATATATTTAGCTTAGTCTAAGATGCTGAGAGTTTCCCAGTTGAAACTATGGTTGAGTCTGTCCATGTGTTGTGAGATTAAGGAGTTTTCATCATGTCTTCTGACTGCTGGCTGGTGTTCATGGAAGCCCAAGGACTCCATAGTTCAGCCCTGAGCTACATATATTCTATTGTTACTAATGAGCCTTCCTGCTGTTGTGGTGTATGCTAATTCAAGGTTCATTGCACAACTCTCTCCCTCTCAGATGATGGGGCCTGAAAACCACCTCCCACTTCACTTCCTAACCTGCTGTTTCTAAACTTGGGCCAATATGTAGGGTGGATCTATCTTCTGCTTCCTGATGCAGATAGGACTTCCCATCTCCCCAACTCATTTCTTGGCCATTAGCTTTCTTCCTTTACCTGGCTCTTGATTTCTGGCTCCTTTTGGCCTGGTATCCTTCTCCAAGATTGGGACCGATGCGTTGCACAATATCTGTTTCTTTGGCCTCACATGGCCTTGATCTGAGATGCGGATGGAATCAAGATCCTCCTGTGCAGAAGAGATGGTTGTAAGTGAGAACCCAAAGAGCATCTGTGGGATGGGCATTTCCCACAGCCTGGAAATCATCTCTTCATCCAGCATAAATACCTTTATATCTTTGGGGTTCAAAGGCCCATCAAAATGGGGGCTGGAGAAGGTATCAGGATCCTCTGCAAAGTCAGCACTGAGTTTTGTTGGCCTGCATTGCAGGGAGAGAGCAAAAGAAAAAGTGGGAGGAAATGTTGTCATCTTATGAAGGCCAACCTGGTCCTCAGGTAGAAAGAAGCAGTTGCCTTGGGCAACAAAGCCTGAGAGCTGGCCAAAAAGAGGCAGAGAAAAGTTCTCCACATCCTGAGATTTCCACAGACCCCCTAAATTCATCTGCTGTCTGTAATCCAGAATGTTGGAAGAAAAACCAAAATATCAGCTTTTGTACATGGAATGGATGGATACCACCTTGAAGCCACCTTAATCTAGGCCAGATCATTTGTTCATCCAAACCAGTACTCTCTTTGGCTGGCATCAGTTTCAAGCAGAAGTCCTCCCCAACACAGTTGCTGGAGACCTTTTCAAGTGGTAGATGCTCAGATCTGAATCTGGGACACTTTTAGAGCATCTTTGGTGCCTCCTTTACTTTTCTTCCACCATCAAAAATAGAAATGCAAGTTCTCTACATTTATTGTTGACTGGAAACCCCTTATAGACTTTTTGTGTGAAACAGACAAAATGAATTTATGATTTATGGTTTTGATGATTAAACAGAAAAGATTATAGAAAGAAGAAAGATACATTGTAACCATAGAGTAAGAGGTAAACTTACAACTGTACTTGTAATTGCTGTAAAGAAAATTGGAAACTACTTTATATCTTTTTTCTTTTTTCTTTTTTCTCTTTTCTCTTTTTTATTTTTTTTCCTTTCATGCACTTCTCTTCCTTTCTTTCTCTTTCTTTTCTTTTTCTTACCTTAGTTTGTGTTAGTTTTTATATTCTTTTTAAAAATCTGATACATATTTTTATACACACACGCGCGCGCGCGCAAGTGATTGCTTGTAAACAAACCTTGCATTAGAGACTTTATCAGGCCCTGATGTTTTTGCAATGAGGTGGCTATTTCATTCCTCCCAGAAAAATGTTCACTTTCTTCTTTCTGAATTATTAAATTAAGTTATTAGCTGAGGTTTTATTTTGCCACTATTAAATAAACAATTTGTGTTCTGCCTTCCCCAGAGAGCTGTCTTCCAGCTGAATTTGGCCAGGCTCACTGGAGGCTGTGGGACTTAATAGTCCAACCATGTGGATGGCTGTGGTTTGGGAGCCAAACTGCAAATTTACATGCTGCCTCTTATCTGACCGTTCCCGTGGCAGCATCTCTTTGCCCCGTCTCCCAAAGTCTTTCCTACATACCATTATAGCCACTGCCTTATGGCTGCCAAGAAGACATGGACATGTCCTTAAAGTCACCAGGATTTGCACTCAATTGGAAGAAAACTAATTACAGGTAGTCCTCGCTTAATGACTACAACTGGGACTGGAATTTCTGTCGCTAAGCAATGCGGTCGTAAACCGAGATGTCACATGACCGCATTGCTTAGTGACCACAATACCGGCATTCCTGGTTGCCTTCGTTAACCAAGAATTGCAGGTCATTGAGTGAGGACCCACCCTCATCCAAGCCATTCCGAGCCTCAGTAAGGTAAGCAACTGCCCCCAACTCCCCCCACCCACCTATCTCCCCCCCATCTCTGCCTTTCTGGCTGCCCTGCACCCAGCTGCTTGCCACGCCTTGGGAAGCTGCAGCCGCCCTAGCCCAGTCCCAGCTGCCCTCACCACCCTGCGCTCTGAGACCCCTGCCACCCTGCGCTCTGCTGCCCCAGCTGACCTTTGCCATCTTCTCACTCCAAAAAGACCCTCTGCAAAAAGCTCCTGGGCGGGGTGGGGCGGGGCTTTTGCTTTGCAGTGCCAAAAGGAAAAAAAAGCCAAAAGCCCCATCTAGCCCTGCCAGAGGACTAAGGCCGGCCCAGTCTACTTGGCGGCTGAAGGCAGAACTGGTCTGCCCGCCTTCTCAAGAAGGAAGACCACTCTACCTGCAGAAAGCAGAAGGGAGGAGGTCAAAGGTGGCTGCAAGGGCCCGGTCTACCCACCTATCATGGCTGGAGGTTCCCAGGAGTGTGCCGGTCTACCCATGAGGAAAGGAAAGAAAAAAGAGGAGAGGGGGAAGAAGGCGTGCTTTTTTTTGGCAGTGCGAAGCAAAGCCCAGCCCCGCCCCACCCAGGAGCTTTTTCCAGAGGGTCTTTTTGGAGCAAGAAGATGGTGAAGATCAGCTGGGTCAGCGGAGCACAGGGTGGCAGGAGGCCAAGAGGGCATAGAAGTTGGGGGAGATAGGCGATGGGGGGGGTTGAAGTGCTCCGGCAGTCATAAATGTGGGTGGGTGGCCAAGCGCCTGAATTTTGATCACATGACTGCGGGGGCTGCTGCAACTGCCATAACTTGGGCACTGGCCATAAGTCACTTTTTTCTGCATGTTCATAACTTCAAACGGTTGCTGAATGAATGGTCGTTAAGCAAGGACTATCTGTATCTGCATTACAGGTGGACCTCAGGTTACGACCACTCGTTCAGCAACCATTCAAACTTGCAATGGCACTGAACAAGGGGGACTTACGACTGGTCCTCGGAGTTCCAGCTGTTGCAGTGTCCCTGCAGTAATGTGATTGCAATCTGGGTGCTTGGCGCCCAGCTCACAGTTACAACATCGCAGTGAGCCCCGCTCACATCATTATGATTTCCGGCATTCCCTGCCGGGTTCCCACAAGCAAAGTCAATGGGGAAGCCAGCAGGAAGTTTAAAGTTATGATGAGGTCCTTGCATAACAACCCTGATGATGACAACCAGGACTGCTGGAATTGCCATCACTAATTGACACAGTCATGTGACATCACACTTTACGACCACATTGCTTAGCAACAGCAGTTCTGGTCCCCACTGCTGTCGCAACTTGGGGACTAGCTGTACTCCATTCAAAGCACAGCTCCCATCTGCTTTTCCTTCACTACTCACTTCAGTCCAATTGCGTCTTCGCCCACCGGTTCCCTCCGACAGCGACGCTTCTTCCCTTGGCGTGGTGCAAACCCCGGCGGGAGCCAGAGAGATCCATGCTCCCGATGCTGAGGCCGACGGACTCTCCACACGCCGATAAAAATAACCAGGGCTACCACCAGTGCCCCAGCACCCACACAATAAATGAGAGGCCCAGAAAAATGGGAGACGGAGGCCTGCGGATCTGGTTGAGGGAGAAGCGAGGCTGTCAAATGTCTGTCTCATGCTTTCCCCCACTGCCCCCCATTTTTGAACCCATCTACCCTAGAGACTTTAGATCAGTTTTGTACCAGTTCAATGATCAAAGCTTCTCCCTCTAAAGCCAAGAATTTGGGTTTGGTGGATGTGCTGAGTATTCCCTATTAAATACCCTCACTGAATTCCTACACACAGTGAAATGCATGAAAACACATACGTGCATGCTTACAAAACCCAAGAATATTGGAGAGAATACCGTATTGCCTTTACACATATCTGTAATCTGTATTTTTAATGGATTTGTTAAATCCATTTAGCAAATCCGTTAAACTCTATTTGATCCATTTTTGTTTAACAGGAGGAGGGGGTCTAATGCTAGTTATTTTAGCCCCAAAGACCCCTCCTCCACTGCAGACAAGACTTTGGAGTCAAAGAGAGAATGTGGACCCCAACAGAAGAAACTGTTTCTTCTTCAGAGTCAAAGGGACCAAATTAAGGATGTTTTTATCAAAAACAAACAAACAACCCAAATAGCATTAATATGCATTATAATGCTATTTGGGTTGTTTGTTTTTGGACATACAGGTAGTCCTCGTACAGCAACCACAATTGGGACCAACAACTCGGTTGTTAAGTGAAGCAATTGCTAAGTGAAACAGCCACTGTGCTTATGATCTTACTTCAGCTTCCCTTTGCTTTATAGACCTGTGAAGGCCACAAATGCAAGGATTGGTCGCAAAGTTACTTTTTCATCACTGTCGTAACTGCAAACGGTCACTAAATGAGGACTACCTGTAACAGGTTTCAAAAACCTAAGGATATTGATCTCTGCTGAATAAGCACAGGATGGGGGGTCTGAGATTGTAGAAAATTATTACAAATTCAAATCTAATCCCCCAGGCATGTAGGACTCCCACAAAATTACCAGTAGATTAAAAACTTTACCAGATCATCCAAGTAGAATCATAGAATCCTCAGGTTGGAAGGGACCCTGGAGGTCTTCTCATCCAACCCTCTGCCCAGTGCAGGAATCCTCAGACCCTTCCAGACAAGGGGCTGGCCAGGCCAGTCTTTTCTTGAAAGCCTAGTGAGAAGTAGCTTTCTTCTCACCCAAGATGTTATGGCCTTCCGTTCCCATAATTCCCACCCAAGGCCATGATGTGGTGATGTGGTCCAATACACCAACTCTCTCTTTCTCAAACTCAGAAATTCCCTCTGTGTGCATATGGTGGAAGAGCAGTCTGCTTAGCAAAATTGCAGGCCCCTGTGCTGCTTTCTGGCCCTGCCATTTGAGCCTTCTCCCCAGCGTCAGCAGGGCAGAGTTGCCAATAAAGCTGCAACCTTGACACGTGGGGAAGAAGATGGGAGGAGAACGGAGGAGAGACACGTGTTTTGGAAGCTCTGCAGCCACCGGCAAACAGAGCAGTGTTCCTCAACCTCAGCAACTTCAAGATGTGTGGACTTCAACTCCCAGAATTCCCCAGCCAGCATGGCTGGCTGGGGAATTCTGGGAGTGGAAGTCCACACATCTTGAAGTTGTTGAGGTTGAGAAACAGTGAAATAGAGTAAAGCAGCCAAATAAAAGAAGGTGTTTTTCCTTCACAGAGACTGGACGGTCCAGCGGAAAAGAAGTATAGAGGCAGAGCGAGGAAAAGCACAAGTACAGAAGAACAATGTGGAAAGATGCAAATACTCTACCCAGAGAGAGAAATTAAGTCAGAATAGTGTTTGTAAGAAGAAAACTTTGCTAAATAATATTATAGGGTATAGTATAGTAATAGTAAAGAGGAACTGTTGTAATAATAATAGAATAGTTATAATATAGAGCAGTGTTTCTCGGCCTCAGCAACTTTAAGATGTGTGGACTTCAATTCCCAGAATTCTCCCACCCCCCTGGTGGCTTGGGGAGCCTTGGGGGTGGAAGCGCCCAAACTTTAAAATTCTGTGGGGGCGGGACAATGCCCTATTATTTTCATTTTTTTT